GAAGCCTAGTAAAAATGCTTCATCATGGCATCTAATCCACAACACACCCCGCTCCGTGTCCACTTGATCTCAGGGCATGCCCCCCCAAACATGTCCACGTGCAACATCCACTTCCACTCGCCCGGCTCCTCCTACAGCCCTTCTCCAGCTTTTCCTTAGTGGAAGCCGTGTGAGGCCGGGCATTTTTGTCATATTATTCATTGCTGACGTCAAGAAGAGATGCTCAATAAACAACGGCTTAATATCAGGTCTTCTATAACGCCTTTCCTTCATGTTCTAAGTCAGAACCAATCATTCCCTATTCCCCGCCCCTGGAACATTCCATCTGTACCTTCTACCTTCATTCTAGTGCTTCCTTCTGCTCTATATAATCTTTATGTGTGGGGCTGGCCTGACCACTACAGTTAGACCTCACAAGGGTAGAAAGACGTCTTTATCATCTTTACAGCTCTGTGGTGTCTTCGCTTGGGTTTTGTGCCTCGTCATGCTCAGCTCAGTAAGCACGGTTCAGTCTGACTGAATGAAAGGCCTTCTGGGGTGAAGCCTCTTTCCTGCTGACATGCAATTATCAGCTCCTAGTCTTACGCTTCTTTTGGCTAGCACAGAGCTACATGCATAGCAGACCCTCCCCAAATTTGTGTTGACTTGCTGCTTGTTAAAGGCTCAGACCATCCATTTCTCCATCTATCCCACTGCATGCCTCAACCATTATGATTTCTTGCCTCCTGGGACCAAAGCCTCCATCTGTTAGCCTGCCTCATCTCGGCCCCACAAACCTCTTCCAGACCTTTGTAGTCAGCTCCTTTTGTGTTTCTGGAATCCAAGGGGAGGGCGGGTGTGTGTCGTTCCTCGGTTCCCATAGTAACCAAAGTCTTTGTTCCAAATACTGAACTCTGACGTGGGGAGAGATAAAATACAGTGCCCTGGAGGAGAGCTTCTTTGAAGATGGAGATGGAGACTTGTTAATAGGCTTACAAAAATAATGTGTAGACTTCATGTTTATGTCCTTTGAGGAGCTCAAAGTGCTTTACGAGAATTCTTGAAGTCACACTCTAACATGCTTGTGAACGCGGAGACTGTGGGCACTGTGTTGCCCTCCACATACAGCTTGGAAGCTGAGGCAGGGAGGAACAGGGTGGCTTATCCCCGAACAAGCTGAGGAGCCAGCACTAGGCCTCCGTTGTGTATAGTAGGGTCATGTGCCTGGTAGGGTTTGGTTTTCTGGCTTGTTTGTGCAGTTCTGTGCTTGGGTGAGGGTGCATTGGTTAGACTGACCGTGAGGAGAACACATGGATCTGCTGTTTCCTAGCCCATTCGCTTTGCTTGTTTTCTAGTAGAATGTTCCATGGTGAAGCAAGAGGGAAATTTTTATCTTCGTTATCAGCATCTCAGTCAGCCTGGGAATAAATATTTTTAAATTGTTTTTGTTTTTTTAGTGAATTTAAGAATCCCCAGATGATGACATTCTCCGTATCACTTGCTGGGTCTCTGTATTTCTCAGACAACTCCTTCTCCAGTGGCCCTTTCCAAGGCCACTTCTTCCACCCACCACCTGGGGACTAGGGTTCTGAAGAGCAAACTGCTGACCCTCTGTCTGCTCACCATCTAGGCCTCGTCTCCCTCCTTACCATGATTATAGCTAGTACCTAGTCACTGAAGACTCCCTGGATCTGTCGCTAGACCCACCTCCTTCCCAAATCAGGATGTCTGGCTCCAGTTCTTCGCCAGGTCTGAGGAGATTTGCACAGTGCCTGACACACACTTAGGTACACAATAGTTGTTGCATGACTGTGTTTCATATCACGTACCTTCATATCAACATGGCCCCCAAACCATATTATTAACCATCCCCACTCCTCCTTTTCTTCACCCTCGCATCCCTAGCAGCAGTTTCTATCCAGAGACTTCGCTGGAAATCCTGGAGAATCCTCCACTCCCCCTCTCCCTGCCCTCACCTCGCATCAGTCACCTCTCAAGTTTACCTTTGTCCGGAGGCCTTTGCCGTCTCACACGTGGCTGTTCCTGGCCTCCAGCGATTCCATCTCTTTCCCTCCACTGCCACCAGAAGGATTTCTCCAAAACACAACCTGACCATGTCAGCCCCTCACTTTCAAAGCCTTCGTAAGTCCACCTTGGCATCTAAGACCAGGTTCAAAGTCGTTGGCATGGCATTCATGGCCCTTCCCAGTGTGGCTCCAGTCAATCCAGTTTCCTTGTTTGAATTCCTACCACTGTCCCCTTAGTGTGTGCTTCAGGTTTCATTATATGAGTGAGTGAATGTGGAGGCAAACAGTCTTAAGTGCAATCATTTTTAGGTCTATCGACCCGAAGACCTGAAGACACTAACTTTTATTGTTTACCCCAGAATTGTTGATTTAGCCAAGGGATTGAACATGTGTCAGGTACTGTGTTAGGTGCTCAGGCTACACCCCAGTGCACAAAAAGTGACAAAGATCCCTGCCTTCGTGGGGCCTATATTCTACTGGGAAATTCAAACCATAAACAATGAACACAATTAGTGAATTATATAGTACGTTAGAAGGTCATAAGTGCTGAGAAAAAGAAAGAAAGAAAGAAAGAAAGAAAGAAAGAAAGAAAGAAAGAAAGAAAGAAAAGAAAGAAAGAGAAAGAAAGAAAGAGAAAGGAAAGAAAGAAAGAAAGAAGAAGAAAGAAAGAAAGAAAGAAAGAGAAAGAAAGAAAGAGGGAGGGAGGAAGGGGAAGAGAGTGAGAAAGAAAAGAAAGAGCAAGGAGAAAAAAGGAAAAAGAATGGGAAGGGGGAGTGGGGTTAAAGACTCAATAGGGTTTTGAGAGAAGGCCCAGTCAAGAAGATGAGGTTGTTCATCGAGCCAGCTCTTCATTACTAGGCTCTCTTTCTGGGTTCCTGAAATTACTCGAGATCCCTGTCATGCCCCTCACCCCAGGAGGCAGGGAACTGGATGGCTGTTCTGAGCAATTGCAAAGCAAGAGTAATAGCTCCTGTTTGCTGTGGGCCTACTTGTGAGCCGGCACTGTGCTGAGCAATCCGCCATCTTGTCTCCCTTCATCTTCACAATAGCCTTCGAAGATGGATACAATCAGCCCTATTTAACAGTTGAAGGACCTGAAGGTTAGAAAAGTTAAAGCATTCGCCCAAGACCATGAGCTAGAAAGGCCGAGGTAGGATTGAGCACACAACTAGCCCTTTTGCCACTGACTGATGAGTGAAGGTATTTGAGGACCACTCTTTCTTCGGATGTTTCTAAAACCCAGTAGCCTAAAGAGCCAACATGGCTCATTTTCAAGGATAATAATCGAGTGTCACAGCATGAGTGCGGGATGCAGGGGGCACACAACACCTGCTCCTACATTCAACATCTGATTCGTCTCAGGCAAGTGGTTCTCAACCTATAGACGTTGTTTGAAAGTAATTCCATTGTCTTGCTGGCTTTTATTGCCAGAACAGTCTTTATCCTTAATGTCCATCCTCGGTCTACTAATCCAGTTTCCTCTCATTCGAGCCTCAGTGAAGCTAGAGTTCAACTTTCCTCATCTGCCTTATGATCTTTCTTCAATATCCTTGAACCAAGCCTCTTCTATTCCAAAATGGTCTTGGCTCTGTCTGTGTACTGTAGTGATTGTCTAGACGTTGGAAGAACCAATCCCTTAAAGATGAAATCCTGGGTGTTTTTACATCAATAACCCTGTAATCAACATGCTGAATGCTTGTCGAGCATGACTAACCACTTATAAAAGACCAAAGCGTGACTCAGAGAACCCCACCAAAAATAATGCATTTGGCCTAATCTTGGCCTGGTGCAGATTCAGACTTTTGAGTCATAAAGCTCATTAGAAATGGGGACATATTTGACTCTAATAAAGATTTTAGTGCAACTCAGATTTAGAGTGGTATATTTAGGGTAGGCCACAGGATGAATTTTGGAGCGTAGGCAGATGACGTAAGGAGGGAAATAATCATCTTGAAAAGGCAAGCTTTATTCCTTCTCTGTCCCCACCTTCTGCCATTAAGAGAAAAGCCTGATTTAGGAAAGTCTTTTTACTCACTAGAAAAAGAAGGCTTTCATGATCTGTGCAGGAGAAGGGATTTATTAGAAGTGATTTCTTTATTTGGGACATGCTTAAAGCGTGCCAAGGGGCCTCCCAAGACTTCCTTGGGTCCTTGCCTTTGGTTGCTCTGTGTTTTTAACAAAGCTGCTACTTGTCACTCATCAGTGAGTGTGATGTGCTCACTCATCAGAAAGGATCTGCAGGGGGAGAAGCATTAGCTGCAGCTCTAAGCTATAACTAAAGCCCCCGCATCTTCCTCCTTCCCCAGCTGGAGACAGAGGGGCCTGGAGGAGGAGATGCCAAGGCCAGGAGAGAGCTAGAGAGAAGGGCGAAGGCACGGCCTAGGGGAAGGGTAGCCTACCATCACTTGGGAACATTTCAGGAAGGAGAGGAAAGCTCACTTAGTACTTGACTGCCATATTTCAGGCTCTGCATTAGAGTTTTTCACATCCATTATTGTATTTAATGCTCATCACAACCTTGGAGGAAAAAGACAGCATATCCCAGGTGCACAAACGAGGATCTGAGGCTCCGGCGGGGGGGGGGTCAAATCCACCCATCAAGGGAGTGGCAGGTGTGCCATCTTACTGCTCTAGCATGCTTGTCGTAGTGAGAGTAGCAAGTGACTTCCTTTTTTAAAGATTCCCAGCTCTCAATAAAATCTTAAAAAAAAAAGAAAAAAAAAGGCACCTGGGTGGCTCAGTCGGTTAAGCGTCTGCCTTCGGCTCAGCTCATGATCCCAGGGTCCTGGGATCGAGCCCCACATCAGACTCCCTGCTCAGCAAGGAGCCTGCATCTCTGCTCTCCCTCTGCCTGTAACCCCTCCCCCTCTGTCAAATAAATAAATAGAATCTTAAAAAAATAATAAAAATAAATGATAAAAAATAAAAAAGACTCCCCCCTCTCTTGGAGATCACGTCTTCCCTTAACCAGCCCCTTACTCTCTTCTGTCTCAGGCAGTTTGGTGGGTATGCGAAGGAAGCCGACTATGTAGTTCATGCCACCCAGCTGCGTACTGCCTTGGAGGGCACGGCCACCTGCCGGAGTGACGTCTACTTCTGCACTGGCTATGACCCTCCCATGAAGCCCTACGGACGTCGCAATGAGGTCTGGCTGGTGAAAGCATGAGTAATTTGCTGCACTACAACCCCCCGGATATCTGTTTCTGTGTCTGCTTCCTGAGAGGAGAAGGGAGCACAGCTTCCAACTGTGTCTCCAGCTCCACCAACTTCTCTTCAAAGCCGTGTGCTGCCAGTTTTATGAAATACGCATATTCCGTCTATGCTCTCTCTCCTGGTAGGGGCTCAGACAGCCAAGATAGACAGCATCCTTCGAACTGACTTAGAAAGTTCTGTGGTAGATCAGAAAAAAAATCCAGCAACATTTTCCCAGCTATCTGGGTCACTCAAAACTGATCTTTAAAAATGATTGAACCTGTATTTTTGTGGTGGAGGAAAAAATGTGATTTGTGCATGATCTTCCATCTGTGATTCTTGCAAGACCTTTGTCTGAAAAGAAACTGAAAATAAAGATCTTTGACTTAAACAGCTGAGACAAATCCAGAGTATAGTTATTTCCAAGACTGCACAGTCTTAAAAATAATATCGTTGTAAGTACTAATGGTGATGTTTACTGTGACAGGAATCCCATATTTAGTTCCAGAGTCCTTCAGAATATAAAACCAAAGATCCCGGGGTGGAAGGATATGTACCAGATGCTTGAACATCGCCACATCACAGACATTTACCGCAACCAAGTTGTAGGGATTCTACGATTGGAAGTTGAGGATCCTGTTTGCAGTTGTGGTCCACGAAGCGTTCCAGGAGGGACAGAAGTAAACCAAGGGGAAAAATCATCACATTCTGATAGACGTCCCTGGAGGCAGGAAATCCGCTTGCAGGATTTATTCGTGGGGATAAGGTGGGGTGAGAAAAAGCTGAGGTCCAGTTTCATGAGCTGAAGAGGAACATGCTGTTTGGCCTGCAGAGAAGGAAAGGGACCCCCCAAGGCTGTGAGGGGCAGGTGGGAAGGTAGCTGAGCTGGAACAGAATGTGTGGGTAAGCAAGAGGACAGAAGAGCCAGGCAGGTTACAGGGCACGTGGAGAGTATGCTGATCCTCCCAGGTGCACCAAGGCCCTGCCCTGTCAACAGCCTCCCCCCTTTCCCGCCTCCCTACTCCCACCCCCGGGGGACCACTGGACAGGTTTTCTGGGAGAAACCCACCTTGGCACCCATCAGAAAGTTACTACATAAGCAGTGAGGAAAGAAACAAAAATGAGCTTGAAGCCTCACGAGGAAGGGTTCTCGCTGGACATAAAATGGGATTTGCTAAGGAAAGGGGTGAGAGCTATGCCGTCACCTTTCCTGGCAGCCGTTCAGAATAGGGATCTCTTCTGAGGGCCGGGCCGGGCCCCTCTCCGAGGATCAGTGGGAAAGTACGCTGGCCACTGAGTCCTGACCACCTGTCAGACCCCCTGCTGGGTCCCTTACATCCTCCCCCATACCCCACATACACCCCCTGTGAGGGAGGTACTGTTGTGACCCTCACACACGGCTGAGGGCCCCCAGGCTCACACGCTGAGCTCAGGATCAAGACAAAAGTGCAACCACGGGGGCCTCAGGTCATGTCAAAGAGTTTGAACTTCATGAAAAGTAAGTGAACGACTTTGAGCAGGAACGTGATACCATCGTGTTTTAAAGGGGAAATTCTGTCCTCGGTGTGGTAAACAGATTAGAAGGGAATGCACCTGGCGGTAGGAAGACTAGTCACAAGACTCTAAGATGATGGAGGCCTATAAGCTAGGATGGTGGCCTGGGGGCGGGGGGAAGGGGATAGTTGGAGAGAAGCAGGATCGACAGGACTTGGAGCAGAACAGGTGAGACAAGGGAGAAGGGGTCAAGGGGTCAAGGGCAATGCCCAGGGAGTTGGCTTGGACGGGGCGGGTGGGCCCGCTCCTGGTGGTAGGGAGCACAGGCACGAAGCAGGTGATCGAGAGCCGTGTCCACAAGACAGTGGTTAGGCCTGTGGAGCACCCGGGTGAGGCCATCTCCTAGACAGCTGGAAGGAGGGTCTGATGCGAAAGAAGAAACCTGAGCTGCAGACGTGTGTGTGGAGGTCCGGAAGATACCGAGGGAGTGGATCAATTATGGCCGCTCCCAGGGAGAGGCTGTGGGGTAAGAAGAGAATGTAGGTGAGAACTCAGGGGAACCCCGATGTTCAGAGAAGAGCAGAGGAAAAGAGCCTGACGACGATTGAAAAGACATGGCCAGGGGTATGGGAGGAAAACGAGAAAATCAGCGAGGAGGAGGTGACCAGTGAGTGTTACGACACCAGTAAGTGCCACGGAGTCAAGTCTGCCTCCACTGGACCACCCTAGGCCATGTCACCATCTCTCTTCCCTGGACTCCTGCAATGACCTCCTAACTGGTCTCACCTCCCTTTGATCCATTTCTACGCAACATCCAGAGGGACTTGGCTTCAAAACTCTCCTTTGGGGCGCCTGGGTGGCTCAGTTGGTTAAGCGACTGCCTTTGGCTCAGGTCATGATCCTGGAGTCCCGGGATCGAGTCCCGCATCGGGCTCCCTGCTCGGCGGGGAGTCTGCTTCTCCCTCTGACCCTCTTCCCTCTCGTGCTCTCTATCTCTCATTCTCTCTTTCTCAAGTAAATCAATAAAATCTTTAAAAAAATAAAACAAAATAAAACTCTCCTTTGCCCTTGAACTGAAGGGTACACTCCATTTCATGCCCTGCCAGGCAGTGTGATTTGGCCCCTGACCACTCCTTCCCCTTCCTATCTCTCTAAGGTCTTCCTTCGATCCTCCAGCGGCAGTGAACTTTTACTTCCTTGAACAAACTAAGCTCTTTATTGCCCTGGGGCCTTACCCTAACTATTGTGCCTGCCTGAAACCCTTTTTCTCTCTTTTTCAAGCGGCTGGGCTTTCTCATCCTGTAGGTCCTAACTTAACCCCCTCCTCCTCAAAAAGGTCTTCAGTGGCCCCTCCGTCTAAACCAGGGTCCCCCATAGCTCTCTATCATAAAGTTGTGTTTATGTTTTCCTTCTTAATACAAACCACCATTTGCAGTTTGGAGACTTATTCTTTTTCTCTCTCTTGATAATAAGGAGGAGGCCCATACCTGCTTTGTTCTCCCTTATACCCCCCAGCACCTACTTCAGGGCCACATTTAGGAATGAATTAAGCTGTAAGTAACAGACAACTGAACCAACAGCAGCTTAAACCAAAATGCTTTTATGTTCTTACATAGCAAGAAATCTAGCAGTAGGCTCAGCAGCTCAATGCTTGCATCTCTGCCCTTGCCTTGCTGTTTCCCTCATGGCTGCAAGATGGTTGCTGCAGCTCCTGCCATCACATCCATGTTTAAGGCAGGAAAAAAGGGAGAGGAGGAAAGGCTGTATCGGTAGTATCAATTTTATGAGGAAACAAAGGCAGAAGCCCCCCCCCCAGCAGATTTCCACTTATATCTAATGGGCCAGAACTGACAGAGTCACCCACACCTGCACCAGAGATGGGGAAAGTGTGTGTTTGGCTTTCCAGCCTCTATAGTGGGGAGCAGCAAAGGAGAATGATATTCAGAATGGCTTTGGAGTAGTTAATCTACAGGGGTTTCTGCAAGGGGACAATGAGTGGGGGTGTATGCCTGGAGCCAAGAATTTGGGACAGTAGGAAATTGGAGAGCACTGGTTAAGGCCAGATTGCAAAAGATCTTAAAGGTTTGAATTCTCCACTCTCACTTCTGAGCTGTTGCAAATGGCTCAGGAGCACTTTGCCGCCTCTCCCGGCGGAGTCTTCCGTTCCCCCATCTCTCCTCTCTCCCCCTGCAAAAGCCCAAAACGTGAGGGTCCGTCAAGGCGACGAAGGGATTGGTTTTCAGTCTCTTACTCCCCAGTAAGGACACGGGGTGACTGGATGCTGGTGATATAGTGAAGTCAGAAGAAAGAGGGACAGGAGCAAAGGAAATAAAATGTTTATCCTCAGTCTGGATTTAATAATGAAAAACAGAACCACAGAGACCAGGGTTTCTAATTGCCAATCTATGGACTAGTAAAGCAATCTCCTTTCCTGACTCCCAAGTACTTTCTTGTCTGTATCCTTCCCAAAATAGAACTTTATGAAAAGACCCTCTGGCCCCATCTCAATCCTCCTCTCCCTAGGGTCTGGAGTAGAGCAGATGGCTAATATTTTAGGTTATTGTGTAATGAAGTTGGAAAACAGGAAACAGTAAAGTACAGATATTAACAAATATCTAAACTATGCTCGGGGTATAATGCTCGGGATCACAGCCTAGAACTGCACATATAAGGATGCTCTGCCTTTAGCCCAAAGCCATCTTCCCGTGACATTAATACCCTTGTATGCTTTGTGAGCACCACCCAGTAAACTCTGTCCTGTACATAATACAGCCCAATACCACACTCTCCTGCTTGCATGAGTGCTTAAGGGCCATCGGGTGATTGTGGGTATAAATACAGTGGAACATTTCGCTAAGCTCAGGGAATTGGTCATCAGTTGTTTAAGGAAGACTTCCTTCATTTACATTTGGCTTCTCCACTCTTGAGTAATATTACTTTAATCTTGAGCACAGTAATTAAATCTTCATAGCATGCCACATGGATGGGCATTTATTTGGTTGAATGCCATGGATCTTGCCTTTGAATTTATATTCTTGACTAGCTCTAGGTTTTCTCTTTAGAAATACTGTGTTTCTATGGCAATCATCATTTGGGGAGAGACCCAAGCAGTATGCTCAAATGCAGACTCGAGAATCAGCCTGTGTAAGGTGGAAATGCCAAAGTGGACAGGAGGTGTGGCAAGAATCGGTATAGGCTACGTGGAGCAATCTCGTAATCAAACTTCAGGCAAAACTTGAATTAAGTTTTCCTTGGCAATGAATTCATTAGACCCTCATCAAAAAGTCATCTTATGAGCTGGCTCAAACCCAGCTTCTTCTCATGTCATGCCTCTTCTTTCCTGGGCTCCTTATCCTCCGGGAGCATGATCATAAATGCTGGTTCCCCTACGGGGCCCCTCACTTTCCCCGCTCCGTGCCTTTGCTCACACTGCTCCCCCACCTAGAACCTCCCCATGCCTCCCAGTCCTTCCTCTGCCTGTCCCGCAAATCTCAGCTAAAGAGACTTCACATTCTTCTCTGATTTGCCCCCTGCCGTGTCACCCCCAGAGCATGAGGATATGTGCACAGTGGATGCTCAGTCTTACTAATGTAGATTATTTTGAATTTTTAAATGAGAGCCTTGGGTAACTAACATTTATGGGACATTCATCATGTCCCAGGCACTATGCAAACTCATTACATGAATTACTTTATTTATCCTATACAACAACCCCTTGAGGTAGTCCCAGGCTCTGCCGTCTCATTCACAGATGAACTGGGGCAGCTCAGGAAGGCTCACTAACATGCACCAAGCTGCAGAGATGGCACCTGACAGAGCCAGGTTGGGAGCTCAGGGAATTTGACTCCAGGACCAAACACTCCTAAA